CAAAACTTTAATTTAGTCAGATCACTTTATTATTTGGCTTAATAAATAATGACCCTAACACATTTAAATATGTATCATATATATACATGACCCAAAATTTGCCAACAGCGGGAACATGTGGAAAAAAAGGAAAAAGAAAATTTGAAGTTATTCCTACCTTGGGAATTTGTTTCAATGCGTGAAAAACTCTCACCTTATTTAAACATGCTTTAAGGTGATAGTATGAATTATATAGAATGGGATAATTTTTTAAAAATTAAATAATAACTTATTAATATTTTTTAATTAAAAGTAGAAAATGTCATAAAATATTCGTATATTGATATTTGAAATATTTAGTCCTCTTCTAAGCCTAGAATATGAACTCAAGGTAGAAAAGAGAGGGAGATGTTAAGGATAAGGTACTTATAAAGTAAATATATTTGAAACTAAACGCTTTTTAGTTTGAAAAAGAGATGTGATGAATGAATAGTTGTAATATATTATAGAGAGAAAAAAATAAAATAAAAAAGTGGAGATTTTATATCATAGTTGACTATGAACATGTTGATATCTGGTGGTAGTGCTTGCAAGTATTTTGGCAGTAGTAATACAAGATATAATGAGTGAGTGGTCCTTCTCCTCATCTTCCATCTTCATCTTCATCATCATCCCTTCAATCAAACTTCAAAACTAAACATCACATTTAACCCATTAAACAAAAATTCTCTCTCTCTCTCTCTCTCTCTCTCTCTCTCTCTCTATCTATCTATCTATATATATATATATATATATATATATATATATATATATATATATATATATATATATATCCTAAGTGAAAAGGACAGCCTTAATTTAAGCTCAAAGTAAAGGCCCACACGTTTTGCCCTAGCATGACACTTCGTTTTCGAAACTACATTCTTTACTTTTATGTACAGACAAAAAATCAATTCATGATTTTTTACCATCATGCTTGTCATCAATTTTCAAACATCATAGGACTTGTAATGTAAACACATTAGAAAGTTAAATTCCCTCATGTTTCAAATTCATAATAGTGTGAGCTTATACCAAGGTGTGTGTTTTTTTTTTCTTTTTTTTGCACACAAGTTGTAGGGAACATGTGAAGTTGGAGCAATATACTAGCTCCCACTTTACGTATACCATGATGATATGAACAAAAATGGCACAGCCAGTGGCTGAAGGGGGTGATGGTGGTCATAATGATGGAGAAGAAGATGAAGCCAAATTTTGGAGGTTCATTTTGTAAATAAATGAGTATGGCTTTTGTACTCAATTACTTGAAGAAAAGGGACAACAAATGGACCAAACCGAATTCACTACTATCCCTTTCGTCTTGCATGTATCCTCTCTTCCTATTTTACACCTTTTCTTTTTATAAATACAAAAAAAAACTTAAAAAAACTTAAAAAATATTAAAAAATTATATTATTTTATTATATCGTATCACTTAAAAAAAATCTGAATTTTTACCGATTTAATTACTGGTTAGAAGTGTAAAATTTTTCAAAGTAGTAAACATATACACTTATTTTCAATTGGTTTCATCTTATTAACATGTAACTTAACGTGGCTCTTAATTCGAAGTTTGAGTAGGTAGGGGACTCTACCATAAAATATTAAAATATAATTTGGTTAATGTATAATATTTAATTAATCTTCATTACGTGTCTAATAAGCTAAGTTAATATGTGTGCTGTACTATATATGTATAAATGAGACACTTTGGCTTACGTTTTCAAATCAAGCAATCATTAATCTTTAATAACACTGTTTTGATTTTAATTTCATTATTGCCACTTAGAAAAACCTATAACAACTCAAGAAATTTCCATAATATTATATTGAAGGATAATATTTGATGAAAATTAGTTGAATTTTGAAAATGTTTTTTTTTAATATATAAAATATATTCTTTTAATATTTTTATTTATGTATTCGTATATTTTATATATAAAATAAAAATATAATAAAATATTAAATATTAATAATATCTTAATTATAATAATTTAAATTAAATTCATTATAATATTTTTATTTTAAATAATAATAAAATCTATTTAATATTTAATTTAAATAAAAGATAATAAAATAATATTTTAACAAATATTAAAAAAGAACAATGAGAGATGTACTTGACCTCATTGGTGTACACGTGCACCGAATCATGAGATAATAGAAAAATATTAATCACTTAATTCACACTTTGTTTGAATAAATCAGTCAGTATAAACTTTTGTAGTAATTAACAAAAAATATTCTAATTATAAAGGAATTTTAAATATTTTAAAATACTCATCATCTAACATGCACTTCCCTATTTTTATTTTTTTTTCTAAAATTTGGTTTCTTTTCTATAAAAAAATTGTTTTGCTTACTAAAAAAACGAATAAAAGAAGCATTCACTTCCCTTTAAATCTCTGCGGGAACAAAGCACTGAAATTTAAGAAGAATTTTCCAACTGTTTTATAATTAAATTTCGTCAAAATCAATCACAAAAGCCATCCAAAGAATCACTGTAGAAAACTACAGAATAGCTGTTTCCACTTTTGAAAACCGCATGGATCTAATTGGAATTATCTAAAAATAGTATATTAATTTTAAATAATAATTATTTTATTATATTTTTATTTTACTTTAATAATTATTCATTTTACACTGATATATATATATATATATATAATATTAATAATTTTATTTATTTTATAAAAAAATTATTAAAAAATATTATCTCTTTATTATATTATAAAAATGTTGTTTTATCAATTAAATTTTTAAACCTTAAACATATCTCTTTAAAGGTTCACTCACCGATCAACAATATTCGTTCTTAATTTTTTTTTCATTTAATTCAAAAGTTTAAATTAATAAAAACAGACATCTACAATTATTTTGAAAATTTTAATTACGAGTCTCTATATTTTTTTTTTAAATCAATTCAATACTTCATCTCATAAAATTGTTGTAATTAAAGCCTTGGAATTCGTGTATAAATATCTCGTACTATCAATAATGTATATGCGAACACATGTAGTTGTTAACTACAGAACTTTGTACATCAGTTTGGATGTAAGGTAATTAAATTGTATTTTAATTTGTCAAGTTTGAATCACATTTTGTGACCTAAAATCAGCTTATTAAATAAACAAAATATTTTAGTTTTTTCAGAAACAAATTCGTGAAATTTTATAATACTATGAAGTTATAATTTGTGACAGTTTTAATGAAATATTATTTAAAATAGTTACAAATTTAATCAGAGCACGGTTATACATTTTTTAATTAAAAGATCTGATTAAAATGTCCAAATAATTTAAAAACACACTGGTTTTATTTCAAAACTGCTCCATAGGAAAAACAGAATTAAATTTTTCAAATTAGGTGTTAATTTAGATCAATTAAATTAATTAATTATTCAAAATTTCAGCTTAACTAAATCTACTTCTAATCAAATACATCAAATCCAATCATAATTACGTGATCCACAAATTCAATAAACATGAACTAAATCAATATTCTTTTTTATTAATTATTACAAAAGTTTTTATGATATAATTTTTTTAAATTTTTGTTATTTTCATAATTATGTGTAAAATTTCCCAAAAAAAATTAAAATTTAATTTTGTATATTTTTATAAATTCAATTCAATTAATCCTAATCAAATTCTGAGTTGAGTTGGTTGGATTTAGATTTTAAAACATTAATTGTTTAAAAGTCTACATCAATTCAAACAAAGAAAAGTGAATCCATTCGATTTTTTGTGTGTGTGATATATATATTCTTATATTGGATGGAAACTTATGTAAGAAAACCCTAATTTGTAGGCAGAGTATTGAAGCATTATATAAATTGTATGAAAGAAAAGAATCTTGAATGAATGAAGTGTTGTGTGTGTGGCACTTGTTGTACTGTTTGAGACTGGGTGAAAACAGTGTGCATGCAGAGAGAACAGTGATGCAGCAATAACTACATATTCAGACCATAATCAACCATGCAATGCAATGGCCCATTCATTCATTCTACCATGAACAGAAGTATATGCAGGTTGGCACGTTGAATATCATGTCAAAATTGTCTTCTACCATAATTATCACACCAAGTTCATAACACCCCACGTGATTTTATCACTATTTCCTCTTTTAACTTTCAACATCCTTTTATGCTAAGGCTCATCACCTAACTATAGTCTTTAAACTGAAGGGGAAAGTTCTAAAATTCCACACAAAACTAAGCACTGTAGGTTCACTTTATTACTTTAGTGTGAATAGTTCAATTTCAATGCTTTTCTTATGTTACTAATTAATCAATTACACATTATTTTAAATATTTTTCAAAACAACTATCATAAAAGTAAATATGTTTATCATATATTTAACAGTTTATTACCAGACTGCAATATAAAACTCTACCCTATTAATAATTTCATTCATTAACTTAAGTTTAAGAACAGTTTATTGGTTAAAGTAAAATCTATCTCAGTATTCTTTTATATATAAGTACTATTTGACTATCCTTGGAAAAAAAGAAAAAAAAAAGAATATATATATATATATAAAGTTTGTGTCCATTGCTCATCTCATCTCTACGTTAGCCACTACCCAAGTTTGAGCTTGATAGACTAACTAGGCAATCAAAGAGGGCAAGAAATTAAAGAACCAAGAGAAGAACAATTTTTCTTCACCACCCCCCTCTTTTCTCCAATTCCTCATCCATTGCTGCCCTTTTGTAATCATGACTCCTTCTATCATCATTGCTTTCTGTCTCTCTCTCTCTCATCCCCACATACAAACACAAAACCACAGCTATGTCACTTTTCTATTCACTTGAGTTCAATTCAATTCAATTGTAGTTAATTTCTCGTATCAATTAGGTTTCCACCTATATAAACCCCTTCAAACACAATGGTTGCGCCTCACTTTCACAACTTTGTTTTCAATTCTAAAGAAATAATTGCAACCTTCGTATATCTCTCAACCTTCTTTCTGAGATAAAAGGTATGTGCTCTTTCTCCTCAGAACAGCCACTATATCTTCTTCCCCTTGTTCTTGCCCTTCACCGTCCATGGCCTTCCAAGAGACACCACCACCTTCTCCATAAAAGAAGGTACTTGTTTTGTTTCAATAATGTCTTCTTGTCCCTCTTCCAGATTTGCCTGTGCATGAATCCTCTCTCACTTTCAAATTTCACGTGCCAACTTTTGTTTTTTGTTTTTTTTTTTCCATTCTTCCTTTTTTCTGAATATTCTTAATTATTTTAATAAGATCTCACTTATACATGTTCCAGAAAAAAAAAAAAAAAAAAAAGGAAAATTTATATGCAATTTCCTCTATAGTTCTTTAATCCGAACCAACATTTTATTATTTCGATAGTTTGCATGGTAGTTTTCATTGAAAGTTAACATCAATTATTGAAATAAAATTTCAATTTTGATGGAAGTGTAGCACAGAACATTTCATTCTAATATCATTATTGACATATGATTTTCAGGATTACACATCTCTTAATAATTTCGTAATATATGATCAAGTGATAGCAAGTTGCATGTAGATGATTAAATTCTCAGTTTTGTGTGTGATAATTGCTGATATATTCTGATACAGAAGGAGAGCACAAGTGCAAGAAGCAAGAAGGAGGAAAAGGATGATTTTGAAGAGAGAAATGAAGATGAGAAACTTGAAGTTGTACATGGAGAACCAAAGCATCATTGAGGAGAATGAGAAGTTGAGGAAGCAAGCACTGCATCTTCACAAAGAGAATCAGACCCTCTTATTTCAGCTTCAAAACAAGTTCTCCCAACAAAGTAACACCAAATCCGAATAATACCTAATCAACTTTATATCTTAAGGCCAAAAAATAGGAAAAAAATTGAAGGGTTCTCACTCATCCTTCTCCATGAGGAGCCATGAATATGTCTTTCTTAACATCATTTGCTTTTTTTTTTTAGTATGAGTTTAGTTTATTAATTTCTTGCAAGAGAACATAGTAGTCAACAATGTTATATTAGTTTTATTTTGTTAATTCATTTTAGATTGTCTTTAATCGTGTATTTCCTTTAATGTTATATATATCTGGGTAAAAGTTAGTTCTTTGTGGGATTATTTCGCAATTTATAGGAGTTGTATATTTTTACAATATAAAATTATTCATATAACATTCTCATTTTCTAACAATAATTATTAATTAGAACATTTTTTTTCCATCATTTATAATAAATATTATCATATCATTCATCCTATTACACGTTTTCTTCTACTCTTCCTATAATTTTCTTTTACGACTGTGAAACATTTTGTTCAATCTTAGTTGACAAAAATAGTTTCTCAGACATATGTTTTATAAGATATAATAATACTTAATATTTTTCTAACACGTCTCTAATGTTATATAAATTTTTTCCATCTTTTCAACAATAGATCGAAAACTGCTAGAAATATTTTCAATGGAATTTAGAAATTATGTGTATATTTGAAAATGAATATAACTTATAGTGGAGTATGAATTTCTATCATTCGTACTTCTTTCACTTCTTTATAAAAACACTTTTCAACGATAAATAGAAACTGCTTGAAATATTCTCAGTAAAAAATTAGAAATTTTGAAAATGAATATTATCTCTTTAATAACTTTATATTGGTGTGTGATTTTTTTTTACTTCATATAATATCTTCATTTTAAAAAATAGATCATCTCTATAATTAATACTCATTCAACTTTAAAACATTTTCAATACTAATATAATATTATTTTCAACTCATCGTCATCCAATGTTTTAAATATTTAATATTCAAATAAAAATATAGATGCAATTTCATATTTTGAATTTTGTTTAATATATATATATATATATATATATATATATATATATATATATTTATTGGTGCGTAAATAGAGTTTGGGCCCGTTGGAGCCCAAATTCTAAGTATTGATAGTGGGCCGAATAGGTTCATAAAGGAAGACTGAACTAAACCATTACCTAATGGACCCGAGCCTACCGGGGTGGTTAGAATTAGGCGGTATCGGGGCCGGTAATAGGGGAAACAATAAAAACAAATTACACGGTTGAAGGAGAAAAAAGATAAAAAGGGGGTGGGTTAGAAAAAAGGGGGATCTCACTTTTATTCCAGAACATTGGCGCTCACCGTGGGGCAGGTAAAACTATTCCTACTCCAGAGGAAATAAAGAGCACAACCATGGTGACTCGTACCAGTAATCGCGACAATCAAGACCCTAATGGGGTTGACTCAAACAACTCGGCAATACAACTAATTCTTGAACAAATGAAGGAATTGCGCCGACAGACTGAAGAAGCACAACATATGACAACAAAAGCATCTCAGGTGCAGGATGAATTGCGACGACAGAATGAGGAGTTGCAAGCAGTCATCGGGCAACAGGTCTGATCTACCTCAAGTGACGATGAAGAAGAAATAGTGGAGAAAGATTTTCAGCCTTTCGTTAAGGCCATCATGGACGAGCCTCTGCTTTCACATTACATTACTCCTAAAATTGATCGATTTACGGGAACCCAAGACCCGTTAGCACATGTGAAGGCTTTCAGGGCCCAAATGATCATCAGCGGCGGGTCTGATGCCGTACGTTGTAAAGTTTTTGTTGGTACCTTATGGGGAACTGCATTGGATTGGTTCAGTGGTCTCCCTGAACAATCAATAGCTAGTTTCAATGACTTGGCTAAAATTTTTGTGGCTCATTTTGCTGGTAATAAACAAAGAGCCCCTCAGACGAGTGATTTGTTTGATATGCGGCAAGGACGAAACGAAACCTTAAGGGCGTTCTTGCACCGATTTTGTAGCATGACCGTTAGGATCTTACCTCCCAATGAAATCATGTTTGTATATGCTTTTATGAAAGGGTTAAGGTCGGGCCCTTTCATGGAATCTTTATATAGGCAGCCATGCAAAACAATGAAACAAGTTTGGGCTTGAGCCACATCTCATATTGAAGTCGAACAAACAATTTGCCGACGCCATGCGGCCGAACAATTGGAGTTGCAGCAAGATAATGCAGTAAAACCCTCTCGGTCCTGAAATGTGCAAGGGTCGCATAACCAAAGGAGTTACCACCCTTATGACAAACACAAAATTCCCAATCCACAAATCACGGAGCATAATACCAGACAATACCAACAACCTAACCCACATGACGTGTCAAAGAAAGAATTCTTGCAAGAAGCAATCGCAACTAAACTCCTTGGTTTCCCGCGAGTTACCCATAAACAACTAGGTCCCAAACAGCATGCATGGTGTGAGTTTCATCGAGCTCGAGGACACGACACAGAAGAATGTCAAACGTTAAAATACCAAGTAGATCGATTAATTAAAGAGGGCAAGTTATCAATGTCTAGGATAAATCGACCATCCAACCCATCTCACCAGTCAGGAACATCCTTCAATAAGAGGGGAAAAGAATCATTCTGTCAAGAGGGTGAACATGAAAGAGCTATACTCGGGGATTTCAATACCATAGCTGGGGGGTTTGCAAGAGGAGGACCCACCTCTTCTTCCAGAAAGAGATATGCTCGACAAATCTTTACAACTACAACAGTATCTCGATCCCCACCTACTCCAGTTATTACTTTCACTAATGAAGATTTGTTAGACGTCATTCCCCACGAAGATGACCCTATTGTCATCTCCATAATCATGAGAGGACGAAATGTTCACAGAATTTTGGTAGATCAAGGTAGTTCAGCGGACGTTTTATATTGGGACGCTTTTGTAGGACTTCAAATTCCCTCGGACCTCCTATGACCATTTTCAGGAGTCCTGGTGGGATTCACGGGAGAGCAAGTGGAAGTTAGGGGATATGTGGAGTTACGTGTTACATTTGGTGAAGAGAGATATTAAAAAACGATTATGATAAAATTCCTAGTCGTTAATGCAGTATCATCTTACAACATGTTACTAGGAAGACCTTCGTTGAACAAGTTGGGAGTCGTTGTATCAACTAAACATATGAAACTTAAATATTCCCTTGCCGATGGTAAAGTAGGAATTGTAAGGGTTAATCAGAAGACTGCCCGAAAGTGTTATGAAGGAAGTCTTCGCCAAAGGAGGATGTTTTCTTCGGGTCCGAATAATTCAAAAGTTCAAATGCTGGATTTGGACCCACGTGCATTCGAGGATCGTCGACCTCACCCGACGGAAGATTTGAAAAAGATCTTAATTGATGATAACAAGTATATACAGATCGGTACCAACAAGGATGAAGAGGTGGAAGCACAAGTTGTGAGAGTTCTAAGAAAAAACAAGACAACATTTGCATGTCTACATCATATATGTCGTGAATCGACCCCGATTTCCTGTGTCATCGTTTGGCTCTGGACCCCAAGGCTAGACCAGTGATCCAAAGGCGACGTAAGATGGGGGTTGAAAAGCACACAGCTGTAACTGAAGAAATTATCAAACTATTGGTTGCGGAACATATTCGGGAAGTACAATACCCAGAGTGGCTGGCTAACGTGGTCATGGTTCGGAAACTGTCAGGAAAGTGGCGTATGTGTACCAATTTTACTGATCTTAATAAAGCATGTCCCAAAGATTCATATTCATTGCCGCACATTGATGTGCTTATAGATGCTGTAGCAGGTAGCGAGCTTCTAAGCTTCATGGATGCGTACCCCGGGTACAATCAAATTTGTATGCATCCTACAGACAAGGAAAAGACTGCTTTTATGGCTGAGGCATCTAATTTTTGCTACAAAGTAATGCCTTTTGGGTTAAAGAATGTAGGGGCGACATATCAACGATTGATGGATAAAATATTACGACCTCATTTAGGCTTAACAGTGGAAGCATATGTAGATGATATGGTAGTTAAGTCTATTAAAGCAACACAACATGCTGAGGAATTGGAGCAGTTATTCCACACACTCAACAAATATAAAATTATTCATATAACATTCTCATTTTCTAACAATAATTATTAATTACAACATTTTTTTCCATCATTTATTATAATAAATATTATCATATCATTCATCCTATTACACGTTTTCTTCTACTCTTCCTATAATTTTCTTTCACGACTATGAAACATTTTGTTCAATCTTAGTCGACAAAAATAGTTTATCAAACATATGTTTTATAAGATATAATTGTTGGAAAAATAATAATAATAATAATAATAATCCTGATTTTGATTCTAACAATCAAACATAAACGTAATCTCATACCGATAAACATGTTGTAAACCGAATGCGAAAACATACCCGAATTAGCCATAATGATGATGTCTTTGTAGAGCACTATATTGATCTTATGGTCTTCCACCTGAAGAACATCTGTATTTCCCTCTTGATTTTCTCTCTTGATGGGGATAGAAAGAAAGGAACGAGACTGATAGTTACGTTCTGTGTGTGTGCTCCCAGAAGGGGACCATGACCCTTTAAATATCCAGAATTAGGTTAATTACTTAAGTTTTAGTATTTCCAATTTGGCCCCTCATCAAATTAGAAATTACTCTATGGTCTCTACACAATTTTATTTTCATGACATATGCCTTTAGCCAAAACTTTAATTTAGTCAAATCACTTTATTATTTGGCTTAATAAATAATGGCCCTAACACATTTAAATTATGTATCATATATATACATGACCCAAATTTTGCCAACAATATCCCACTGGTCACAAATATATATGTCCTTACAATCTTACAAATGTGTTAGACTTTATGAGCTCAAAATTGCCATTATATTCCTTTAACATACTCCAAAAGTCTTGTCCATTAATCATATTAGAATATAGAACCAAACCAGCTTTTCATTGCATCATCGCAACTAAAACCAATAATGATTACTCA